AGTTTTAGTAATATTACTAAACCAGCATATACAGTTAGCTTGGAAAGAGCAGGGTGCCAACAACATCATTTCAACTTACATCATTTAACCGACTGGAAGAAAGTCAGTTTGAAATTTGTGACTTAGAATTGTATTTAATATTAAAACCATTGTTCATGTCTTCAGGCCAGTGATTATCTTACTGTGTATGGAGAGATGAAAATGAGTATAATGTTCACCATTGGGAAAACTTGTAACATTAACTTGGTCACATAAAGCACATCTTAGCCAATCATAGTGGCTTTTGGTCTCCTACCCAGCTTACTGCCATAGAGTTAACACTGCTGATGATCTGAATAAAAAAGCAAGAAACATGTTGTGTTCCAAACAGGATGTATTGCCCTTCAAATGGCACTTTTCAGAGTAAAAACATGGCCTCTTTATTGAAGTGTCATTCCAAATCAAAGTGCTCCAACATTGCCAATTTGAAGAGTATTACTGATGCATACTTCTGGTCCCTATGATCCTTTGCGCAGGAAATTTGATTGGTAAGGCACAATGGGTTCCATTCGGAAGGGCTCATCCCTATGCCCTAATATCTTCAAAGTTGTCACTCTGAATAGGGATGACCCCTATCGAATGGAATGCAGTGACTCAAAATGTTCAAGGGGGGCCTGGGCACTGGAGCACTGAATAGAGAACCACTGTTTTAAAACAAATAGTTGAAAAACACCCCAAAAAAGCCTGTAAAATCAAAATAATTTTTGTCATAACTTTAGTTTTTTTGGTAACTTTTTTACAGTGTATAAACATTAGTTTAAATAATTAGTTATTATAGTAATTAGTCATTTTTATTAGTATATTGTCAGTTTTTTAATAATTTGTACATTAACATATACAAAAATATTTATTAGCATTTTTTATATTAAAATTTAAAATTTTTATTAGATTCTAATTTTATTACAATTTTATTTCAGATATAAATGATAAAAATATTGAAATTATGAAGGTTTTTTTCCCCAGTAAATTAATAAAAAAATTATTGCTTAAAAATAACATTCTTTGTCGACTTATACAATTAATAGTAGGCCAATAATATATGCTTTTAATTTAAATGGTCAAAATATGCTCAGTGGTTAGCACTGTCGCCTCACAGCAAGAAGGTCGTTGGTTCGATTCCGGGCTTTGACAGTTGCCATTTCCTTTGCATATTCTCCTCATATTCGCATGGGTTTCCTTCGGTTCCTTCTGTTTCCCCCACAGTCCAAAGACATGCGCTATAGGTGAATTTAACTAAATTCAATAGTATCAGGATGCAGCCTTTATGATGCAAGCTGAGATTGCATCACTTAGCGATGCAATGCCAGACACAGTGCACTCAAATGGAGCGAGTGACGTCAATGTGATGGAGTTAGAGTTAGGGGTGGGGTTAGGTGAGCCCATTAAAAAGCATTGGATGCAGCTCAGATTGCACTGCACCAGGTCTGCATCCAGACCCCTTTCACAAAATTGGCCTAGTGTGTGTGAATGAGAGTGTGTTTCCCAGTACTAGGTTGCGGCTGGAAGGGCATCGGCTACGTTAAACATATGCTGGAATAGTTGGTGGTTCAGGGATAGTTCACCCAAAAAATCGAAATTCTTTACTTATTCCACGTCAATTTGAGTTTTTTTTTTGTTTTATTTTGTTGAGCACTAAAAAAAGATATTTTGGAAAAACAAATATGGAATTCAATGGTTAATTTGCAGACTTCCAGCTTTCATCAAATTCAAAATATCTTTTTTTTGTGTTCTACTGAAAAAAAAAACAGGTTTGAAACAAGTGGAGGATGAGTAAATAATGAAAGAATTTGTACTTTTATGGGAACTGTCTTTTCAAATACACATTCATACAGACATTCACTACTCCTCCCACCCCCAAAATCTGATCTTTTTCTCTTCATGCCGAACATAACTGACTGATGAACTTCTGTAAGCATCTGAGCAATGCCATTCACTCAGTGAGCCATTACAACTCTCTTGTCATTTCCTTCGAAACCCGTCAGTAAAAACTGTATGGTGGAATGTATAGAGAGATCGAACACTGAGCGTGAGCCTGCATCAGTCAAATCTCATACGTGACAAAATTCTGAATTCTTGACATTGAAAGAGGCGTGAAGACCTGAAAGCAGAAAGCGTGAGTGAGGACAGACGTGATGTTGGAGCCGCTGGTAAAATCCCTGTCGAAACACGAGCCGGCGTTGCGTTTGGGTCATCAGTAGATCAGATGACCTATCTGAGATCAGGACGAGCGCTGGCCAATCGCCTCTTCTCTTATCTGCGACTCGCTGTCAGCTCAAACGCACAGCATTTCCATTCTCCACGCTCCACTTCACACACTCGCTGAAGGCTTGAAGATGAGTGACAAACACTCAGTGAACACACTATTAAAGTTTGTAGACTCAGTGGTGTAAAGCAACAAATCACAAATACTCAACTTACTGTAATTGAGTAGTTTTTCTTAGATATTGTAATTTACTAAGCAGTTTTAAAAATGTGTACTTTTAATTTCCCTTAAGTACATTTTTTATTGCTGTATCGGTACTTTTACTCCACTGCTTTCCTTCAACCTGCAGTCACTAATTTGTTTTTTCTTGACACAGTTCACTAAAGAACTACAAATCAGCCAGTATATGGACTACAAGTTTCAGTCATGCACCGCTCACATACACCTGTACCTCTTTCCAATGATTTCACACATTCACGGCTGAGAGCTGCTCATGAACTGATACATGTACTATTTACACACACACACACACACACACACACACACACACACACACACACACACACACACACACACACACACACTTCTTGGCTTAGTCTTTTTTATTTGTCTTTTTGAAATCTACAATGTGTTTTCCTGGACTTGTCTGTGTTTGATCTCTGCTTTGCTTTCCCGATTTTGATACCTTGCCGCCTGTACTGACCATTTGCCTGTTTTAATGACCACGACCATGACATCTGTTTGCTCCTGATTGTAACCGTTACTTGCCTGACCTTTCTAATAAACCTGAGTTTGGATCCGCACCTCTGTTGTCAGCGTTCCCACTTTAAATTACATTTATAATTACAAATCACTTTGTAATTTTACTCTAAAACCCTTAATATTTTATTAGGAATGCACCGATACCATTTTTTTGGAACTGATTCAATCTCGATACCAAAATTCTGAGTATCGATCGATACAGATCAGAACCCGATACTGTGCCTTTTTTTTTTTTTCCCAAACATAATACAGTTACTATAGTTCTGGCGAAAAACTCATATCACCATTTTTAAAAATAATTCGTCTTCTTTTGTAAAAATAACAGACCTATTAATCCTACTGTACATGACAGACATCACAATTTAACTAAAAACATGATGATTTCTGTACACTAGGCTACATTATTTGAGCATTCCTTATGGCATTTATATGATCTGTTGTGCTCCAGCTTGTTTTCATTTTTAAAATTAAGATTTGTCTTTGAAATATGTAATAGGCTACCTCTATTGACCTTAATCGTTGGTAAAATTACCAGCCTTTTAGCAAAGCCTGATATTTTCCTACAGGTTTGAAGCAGATTAAAGTAAACCGTCTGAGGCCAGTTTTACTTAATAATCCCTTGACAAATCTCGCCGTGAATAGGACGGAGAAAGTTCAAAACAAGGTCCACTTATATGCTTCAGCGCTAAAACACAAACTGGTCTGTTAAATAAAATTATACTTTAAATAAAATACAGTGAAATATTCACAGTTTCAGAGTAGCCTATATTAGGCTAAATAACTTTTCTGTTAATCACTATCCATATTGCGCCTTCAGTTTCACTTTTTAATAATTTAATCAACTACTTTGATCACAATGAGTCAGGCTTTACAAACTATTTGCAGCACTGAAAGTATTTCCCTTAGAAGAATAAACTCAGCCGGAAGGATGAGAGAACAGAAACTTACTGTAAGAATAATTTTACGGGGCTGCGCACACACTTGATGCATCACTCAGACAGCGCACATGGTATCTGCGGACACTTTCAAAACAGAGCAGCACAAAGGGAAAAAATCACTGTATTTACAATCTTACTAATGTATTATTAAGCCTTTTCTGATTAAGAGTTTCAGGTTGACCTACTTTGTGTGTGTAGCAGGTAATAACCCTCTCTACTCCAGTGTTGCGAAAGCGATCTGCTGAATTAACAGACGCAGCGCAACATGATTTACAAATGGCAATAAACTCCTTGCTGCAGGTCAAAATTAACCTATTTATTGCTAAACTAAATGCATTTATCCACTGATTACTTATATTAACAGGAACAAATAGTCTTGGAGAAAGTTTTTTGAGTGAACACGACAATCAGCGTTAATTGTGAATGAATGGAGAATGATTGACAGGCACGACGGTGGGAAGCACTGAACTGAACATGAATTTAACCACATTAATATGACTTCGGATCATTTGGGATATAGTAGGCCTACATGACAACTTTCTACCTTCATGGCTAAACTGGGTTATAAACACAGAATATAGCTCACGCGCAAGATCGTTTTTCAATCGATACCAGCTGGCCGATACACGATCCAACAAAAATATGCGGTATCAAACCAATATCCGATCCAAGTATCGGGATGGGTGCATCCCTATATTTTATATATAACACTGTTAAATGTAAACTACAGTTTAAAACATTTTTAAAGTAAAAAAAAACACTTTTTGTTTTATTATAAGTCTTTCAAGGTTTCAGAGAAATGTAGTTCCTTTTAATTATAATAATAATATTAATAATAATAATAATAATTGACGCTATACATATATTTGATTTCTGCAAGATCATTTAATGCTTCAGAGTTGTACAGCCTTTACTACAACTTTTGAGTTACAAGAACAATTTTTAAAAATCCAATTTTTTTTTATCTTAACCTTTATTATACATCTTTATAGATTCATTTGCTTGCATGTTAAATATCATCTGTCTAATAAATGCTTTTGACTTTGTTCGTCTTATAGAGCTAAGTCTACTATGGAGTCAGCAATTAAGACCGTTGTGGGGGTATTCCTGAAGTCCTCAAAAGGCAAGGAGAACCTCGGAGGAAAGGAGTTCCAGAGTCTGGTGAAAAGCCAGCTGAAGAACATTCTGACGGTCAGAGGACAAATTTAACACATTTTTAATATTCATTCATCAGACAGAATCACGCCTGACTCATTTTTTCCATAGACTGTATCTGTTTCTTTCCCGAGCAGTTACTCATTATCTAGACTGTGATGAGCTGGGCAGAAACCACAAGCTTGTGTCCAAATAGTCATTTAGCATGAGGAACGCTGCTGGGTTATTTGCTGCGGTGCCACGTTAAATTACAGAGGAAAAGTTTAGTGCTGCGTTCTCATCCTGCGTGGACATCAATCATTCATTAGATCATGCAGTTTTTAGGAGAAGTCTGCTATTAATCTTCTAAACAATACATTGGCCTGACAGACCCTATAAACCTGCTGTAAATTTAAATATTAATACATTAAAAGGCAATACATAACATATTTGTTAAAACATAACAAATAAGCAACAAACCACACAAATAAAAAAAAACTGAATAAAAGTCTTTTAACAAAAGTAACCAAACAGGCAAAATGCTTTGGTGTTATGATTTTGTTTTCTAATATTATTCCAAATGTTCCTAAACATTACATATAACGTTTTTATAATTACATTTTAATATTGGAAGTATTTTTATAATAACTGCTTTTAAAATTGTGGTTTCTTGACATATGTGTAAATGTTTGTAAAGGAACAATTAAAAGTTTGTAATAGGTTTTTTTTTTTAAACAAGAGCAAGTTGACTAAATCAGTGGATTAAACCATGCTGATAAAACATCCTACTGATATTTTGAATATCATGTAATCTTAAGTAAATCCAAAATATATATTTTGGTGCTATATATTATAGTTTTTCATTTGTATAGTTATAAAAACAATGTGGAACTGGACCACAAAACCAAAACATCATGTGATTATTTTTTTAACATCACACGAGTAAATCATTTCCATTGATATAAGGTTGGAATAGGATAATATTTTGTCTGAAACACATCTGTTTGAAAATCTGGACTTTTAGAGTGCAAATATATGTATATATATATATATATACTTTGTGTTTTTATTTGCGTTTTCCATACTCTTCTAACTTTTTCTAAACCACAAAAGTTTTTCAAAGTTACTGAAACAACACAAGCTCCTCACAAACATTTTCTATTTTCTTTTGTAACAAATACAAATCTACTTAATATTGAACAGTGCATCACCACAAACAGTTTATTCCAATAAAACTGTGATCAATACTGCAGGCATGCTTAAGGAATGACTAACATCTGAGTAACTCTGTGTTTAGGGCTCAGAGGACAACGAGGCAGTAAAAAACATGCGTGAGCAGCTCGACAACAACCAGGATGGCAAGGTCAGTTTCCAGGAATACATGAGTCTAGTGGGTTATCTGGCGCAGGCGGTCAGCGAACAGCGCTGTCTGGAGGCAGAAACACCAGAGGAGACTCCGGTACAGGAGAGTCAGGCCCAAGCCGCAGCAAACGTCCAGGCGCAACCACAACAAGCAGAACCAAAGGCGGAAACAGACAAGAAGAAGGAAGAAGAGAAGCCGGCGGCGGAGGAGAAGAAGCCCAAGGAAGAGACAAACAAAAAGGTGGAGCAGGAAGGAGCTAAAGCTGAAGAGAAAAAAGCCGAAGAGAAAAAAGCTGAAGCGAATCAAGTCCTAGAGAATAAAGCTGAAGAGAAAAAGGTTGAAGCGAATCAAGCCGTAGAGAATAAAGCCGAAGAGAAAAAGGTTGAAGTGAATCAAGCCGTAGAGAAAAAGGTTGAAGCGAATCAAGCCGTAGAGAAAAAGGTTGAAGCGAATCAAGCTGTAGAGAAAAGGGTTGAAGAGAAAAAAGCTGAAGAGAATAAAGCTGAAGAAAAGAACATAAAAGAGGAAGCGTCGTAGGAGCTGGAGGAAGTCGCATCTTTAATGCTTCCATGTTTGTTTTGTCTGTCGTTTTTTTATTATTGTGGTATTTTAATAATTACATACGAGAACCTAGCCGATACACTACACATTTTAACAGTCCAAAGAGGTAAAGTCACCTTAATACAGGTTTTTGGCTATCGCTAGGACATGTTTTTGAAACATTTAGGTTGTGGCGGGCGATGGGAGATCGCTGATGAAAGTGAAGAGCGGGGGGCGGGGGGCGGGGGGCGGGGGATTGGACATTGAACATTTTTTACACAGAGCTCATTTTGGACATTTTTTACACAGAATTTTACTGATAGGAACAAATCATATTGCCGTCATAGTGCCCTGTATCATTCATTTTACATTTTACCGGCAGTCAAACATACGTTTAAATAGGTTTTCACAAAAATTTATGTTGAAGCACATATTTCCAAACCTTAACAATTTTTAATTTATGTCTTGCGGTTCAGAATTGTTATAAAAAACACAAGTTGTGCTTTCATAACACTAAAGTTTGTCGCCCAACAAAAACACATTAAGCAATGAACTAAATACACTAACAACAGTTAGCACTCTCATACAATGTTTTCATATGTATTTTTTTCCCCAAAACAAGAATGATATCTCTGTAATGTAACATGAGTACACTTTTCTTTGTAAATTCTCCTTTTTTGTGTGCGACAACTATAATCAAATCGACTAAATGCTGTTTACAGTGTAAGCTACATCAAATTGTTTTGCTAGTGTTTTGTTACTTAGATTTTAAATCCGTTTTTTTTTTTTGATGGTATTTTTGTGGAAATGTATCAAATTGCAGTCTAATTGACTTTGGTGTTGTTAGTTTTGATCGTCTAAACACTATTAAATGATCTACATTTTAAAATTTTTCACAGTTTCAAAAAAGCAACCGAGTATTTAAAAGCAGGCCCTAGCGATTGTTAAAAAACACCACTAATTTTTGTTTGTATGCACATGAGTTCATGCCTGTGATTAATTTTGTAATAATATAGTGTGTGATAGAAGTTGTCGACAGCCGCAAATGTGACCAATGGCCAAAGGGGTGCAATAATAAATAAATGTCCTTTTTTTATTTGAGCCAGATTTGTTGTAAAAGGGTACTGCAACCACTGTTTCCCCTCGCTAAAATGTCCCGAAAACATCCGCGAATGAAGATCAGACGTCGTGTTTATAGCGTAAATGTTGAAAAAAACTATGTTTACTTTAGTTTGTGCCACCTTCGACTCCGGTGCTAGTCGTAAATGTGTTTTCCAGTGTTGCAGAAGCATTTATTTTATTTTTTTACCTTGCTTTTGTTCGCTGAAATGCCTTCCTGCAGGAGTTTATCTAATTGCATCACCATTTTAAGATGTGGGACTTGCGTTTGTGGCGCACATGGGAACACTATATGCAGTCCTCATACTTTGTTGTTCACATTTCTGGGCCTTGTTTGCATGAGAATAAACAAATTTGCTTTTGAATGACGCTGTTTTGTTGGTTTGTGCTTATATTAGCTTAGTGTTAGACCTTCACATGCTGTCCATCTAAGTGCTTCGTCTCAAGAGCTGTAATATCAGATTCTTAGTGCTCTTATGATAGCTGACGCTCAATTATTAAAAGCCTCGGGATGGAATCTACACCAGGGGACCCTTGTGGCCCCGAGGGAGCCCCAACTCATCCTGAAGTATCAGTTCAGTGTCATGGGTTTAGACCTGATGACATTTAATAAGATTCACAGTTCAGTGATCACTCAGACGCGTGAGCATTCATTCTTGCAAACTTAAACTTTATTCACATATTCATATGTATTTTTCCCTAGTTTTTTGGTATCTACCATACCTGCACATGGCTTTTATTAAATAGGTGTGTCTGTGTTTGATAGGTTTGCTATGCAATGAAATTTTGAGTTTCAAATTTCCTAAACCAATAATATTATTTAGTGCCTATAACTTGCATATGTTTAGGAGACAGAAAATGGACAGATATAAAGACAAACAAGACAGAAAGAAAATAGACTGATAGAAGCTAGATAGTTGCGACAGACAGGCAAACAGAAAATAGACTTATAAAAAAATAGAAAAATAAACAGACGAACAATAGGCAGACGGAAAATGTACAGACATATATAGACAGAAAACACAGAAGACAGAAAATATACAAACAGACAGACAGAAAATAGACAGATAAATAAATAGACAGACAATAAACAGATAAATAGATAGACATGAAAGATAGACAGACAAAGTAGACAGATGAACAGACAGATGGAAGATAGACTCAGAAAATAGAAAACAGGTAGAGAGAAAGACAGACAGACAGACAGAAATAGACAGAAGGACAGACAGAAAATAGACAAAATAGACAGGCAGGCTGACAGACAGACGGAAAATAGACAGGCAAATAGAAAGACAGAAGACATTATATAAACAGACAGATAGACAGACAGGCAGGAAGTCAGGCGGATGGACAGATAGACAGACAGACGGAAGATAGGCAGACAGGCAGAAAATAAACAGACAGTTAGATATGTAGACAGACAGGCAGGAAGTCAGGCTGATAGACAGAAAGATAGATAGACAAAAGAAAAACAGACAGATGAACAGACAGACAGACAAAAATAGACATCGACAGGCAGGCAGATGATAGACATAAAATAGACAGGCAAGCAAGAAGGCAGGCTGACAGACATAAAATACACAGAAAGATAGACAGATGGAAGAGAAACAGGTAGATGGACAGGCAGACCGAAAATAGACAGATAGACAAGCAGGCAGACTGACAGACAGAAAATAAAAAAAATAAACAGACTGAAAATAGATGGACAGACAGAAAATACACATGAATAAATATAGAGAGAAGACAGATAGATAGATAGATAGATAGATAGATAGATAGATAGATAGATAGATAGATAGATAGATAGATAGATAGATAGATAGATAGATAGATAGATAGATAGATAGATAGATAGATAAACAGACAAATAGACAAAATAGAAGGATAAATAAACGGATGACAGACAGATATATAGACAGACAGAAAGTAAAGAGATAGATAGACAGAAAGATGAACAGACAGGCGACAAATGGAAAGTAGACAGACAGATGATCATACAGACAGCTGGAAGACAGACAGACAGACAAAAGATATAAAGATAGAACGACAGACAGACATAAGACAGAAAATAAACAGACAAATAAATACATATACACAGACATGCAGGAAGTCAGGCTGATAGACAGAAAGATAGATAGACAGACAGACAAAAATAGACATAGACAAGCAGACAGACAGAAAATAAACAAGACAGATAGATAGATACATAGACATACAAGCAGGCTGACAGACAGACAGACAGACAGACAGACAGACAGACAGACAGACAGACAGACAGACAGATAGATAGATAGATAGATAGATAGATAGATAGATAGATAGATAGATAGATAGATAGATACCAATAGAATTATTAACATCTGAAATGTTATTCTATCGTGTGTTGTCATTTAAGACTGAAGCTGTAACACCTGGACGATGAGAAACCTTATCTTCCTGTTCCTTGAAGTTTTCCACTGAGTATTAATGATTCAATGAATTTTGATATAGCAAACAGGATTAAGATTAGGACCGGATTAGGATTTCCTGTTTCCCGTGAAACAACATGCTGGAAGAGCAGACAAATGTAAAGGTACTTTCCCCATTCAACCATTATCTAGCAGCTTACATAGGACATTATACACACTACATTATGCAGCATGCAGATATGTATAGCTCACATCAGTGTGAAATCCTACGCGGCCTGAAAAGCGCTCCTTTAGATCATGCTAATGGGCTCTTGTTTAGCTCATGCTGTCATGTTTATCCTGGCTATCTAAAACCGCCTCTGTTTACTCTGGTGTGTCCGACTCCACAACAGTCGTGTCTGGTGTTGCTTGGCCTTAGCATTAATACGTCATCAAAAATCAGCTAATGTTAGATGGTGTCTGCACTGGGAAAATAGCAGAGGAAATTAATTAATTATCTATCAGTAAGTGTATTAGCATAAATATTTTAGCACTGATTTGAAACCTAACTAGTGTTTTACTAAGAAAAAACAAAGGTTACTGTGGTTGTAACCAAAAATACACCATGGTTTTGGTACTCTAACCCTGAATAACATGATTGATACTATAAAAAAAACATGGTTAATATACATATTATGAAAAAAGTTTAACAGTTAGAAAATACATAATGTTAGGCTACACACTGTTAAGCATTAGCATCACATACCTTAAGATATTTGTCCTCATGTTTTGACTGCATGCTGTGTGTATTCTGTGGGAAATGGTATTGTCTATTATAAACGTCACCTAACCTAAACATGTTAACATCTTACATACAAAACCTTGGTAGTTGCTATGACCCACTAGCATTAGCATATAACATCATAACACAGCTAACCATCACTGTTTGATCACATATATGTGGAAAATGGCCTAGCTATAAAACAGAAAAGCTGCTAGTGTGAACATGTTAGCATTAACTTTTTTTGAGGTCAACCAATTTTGCCAGTCAAATTATTAACTCTTTGTAGGTGATTGCAATACTCTACCTTATTAGCATTGTCACACCTTAAGAATCAGCTAGCATTTATGTTTTCACCACGTTATCTCTGTACTGTTGAAAAAGTTATACCAATTTCAAAAAAAAAAAAAACACCAGCTTTAACATGTTAGCACTGAATTTCAATGATGTTATTCACGTTTTATAAGTCAAAAAGAAGCAGTTGCTAAGCTCTGCCCAGCTTGCTAAGTAAACGACATCAGTGTAGCATCATCACATAGATGGCTAGCATTGCTGTTTTACAACCTTATTTTTGTGGAAAATGGTGTATATTACCAGTGCCACTAGCATAAAAGCTAGCCTTGACCTCATTAGTATTTTAAAGGCATTAATGAAGATCAGCTTGTTGCGTGTATAAAAATGGCATTGATATACATTTAACAAATAATGTGGTAATTTATAATAAATATTACAGTATTTAAAACCATACTACACTCCCCTGCTGAAAAATCCAGCTTAAACCAGCCTAGGCTGGTTGGCTGGTTTTAGCTGGTCGACCAGCCTGGTTTTAGAGGGGTTTTGGCCACTTCCAGGCTAGTCTCCAGCCATTTTCAACCTGGTCTTAGCTGGTCAGGCTGGGAGATGACCAGCTAAAACCAGCTTGACCAGCCTACCTAAGCTGGGAGTCCAGCCAAAACCAGCTATATCCAGCTTAAACCAGGCTGGTTGAGCTGGTTTTAGCTGGATTTGGCTGGTCATTTTCTAATTTCATAAAACTAATTTCTAAAGTTCACTCTTAGATATTGCTTGATAATAATAGCAGGTTTAGCATGTTATCCCAGGAGAGAACCATGAGCTCGGAGATAATTGAGCCCAGGGCTCGCGCCAGGTCAATGAGCATGTAAAGGGGTATAAGATCCGGTAGTTCTCGAGAGCTCCCACTGGTAAAGTAGGAAAAGGGGTGGATGGAAGACAGACAAAAAACGAAGAATAAACACTTAATGCTAGACGGGATTTTTATGGTGAGTTTGGAATATGTCCTGGGGGACCAGGACATACACACGTGCGAACAAATTGGCTTACCCAATTCACCTACAGCAAATGTCTTTAGGATGTAGGCGAAACCAGGGCACCCAGAGTAAACCCACGCAAACATGGGGAGAACATGCAAATTCCACACAGAAATGCCAACTGACCCAGCCTGGGCTCGAACCAATGGCCTTCTTGCTGTGAAGCGACATCACTACCCACTGCACCAACGTGTCGCCATACATATAATTATTATATATGCTAAATGCAGTTTTATCAGTCTTTAACTATTAATATAGTCATAAAATTCTACTACTACAGTTCTACTAATAATGACAACACAGCTGTCAGGCCATTTCACACTGCTCCAGGGCTTCAATACCTCCTCATTGTTAATGCAGTTCTTGTTTCAGTCAAATAAAAGTAGTTAAAACTTCACCTGTAACCTAAAACCTGCTGTCTTTCATTAAGTGTACATATCTAACATTTAGCCACTCACTGTAACCAACTGACCACATGCGTTGCATTCATTTTCAATGCTTTACCGCTGACCATCTCCGACTCCTCAACAATAAACGGCTGTAATGTAAACTCGACTGGCCTGTAGAGGTTTCTTGTGTCAAGTCAACTGGCATGACGAGGTCAAATGGCCCTTATATTGGCAGGTGAACCGAAGGAGGAGAGACGAAACTGAAGATGCGGGAGATGCTCTTGAGAAAGGAGGGGAGGAGGGAGTGATATTTAAACCCCAGAGCTGCTGTCTCTCTCCTCATCTGTTCTTCAGCTCGCCCCCGGCTGTCCGTCAGTGTCTCCTGCGCCTCAACACAGACAAAAGAAGCTCTCCGTAAGGCAATCAGGTAAGACGGACGCCTCAGACCAGAGAAAGGCCTGCTTTCTCTAACCAGCAGGG